GGGCTGAGTCACCGGCTGGCCCAGGACCTGGAGGCCCGGCGTGGGTGGGAGCCGCGAGCCGGGACGCTCCTCCCCTCCGCGTCGTCCCCAGGTCTGCAGGGAGCACGGGTTGCACCCTCCCCGCCCCATGCCTAGGACGGGTTTGGAAGTGTGTCCATGGGGAGGCTGGGTTTGGAAGCGTGCGGGTTGGCGCCGGTCTCGGTCTCGTCCATTCAACACTTTCTGAAGGCTGCTGTGTGCCAGGGACCCTGAAGGGGGCTTGGGGGCGCGCTACAGCCCGAAGGGAATAATGGCCATCCATGGCTATTACCACTGAGCCTTCAACCTGTCGCTTGGCCTGGGCTTTCTCGTTTAACTCTGCCGTCAGCCAGGGAGGCGGATGCTTGCATTCGCCCCATTGTGAGGTGGGAACCCTAAGGCTGCATCACTTGCCCAGGAGTTCTACACCTGTAAGCATCAGGCCGGTCAGTGCCAGGGCGCTTTCTCCCCAGCCTTAGGCCATCCGAGCTCACTACTAGATCTTTTCTTGTTTCTCTTTCTCCCTTCCTCCATTCCTCTCTCAACATTTTTACTGTGCAGCTGGTGCCTTAGGTTGAAGGGGAGGATTGGGCTTAAAGAGCAGTGATCTCTGAGGAGGTGTGATAAGCATTATTCAAGTTTGTGGAGAGGGAGGGGAAAGGTGACAGGTGTTGTCCAGCCAGCCCTTGTAAACCTCTCTGAGAGGACAATTTAGAGCTTGATCTTAGTCTCTCTACCAGGCCCTCCATGGGGAGGACAGTCCTAGGGGATGAGACAGCATGTGCAGAAAGAAGGCTGGAGGCCTGAGAATGACTACTGAAGACCTGGGCAAGGGACAGGAGATAAGGGGAGGGCAGTTCCTGAAGTACCTTGGGGATGTGGACTTGATCTGGTAGGTGAAGGTCACTTGACCAACTTCAGTGGAACCATTTCCTTGACTCAGCTTAGGATCTGGGAGAGGAGCTTGCGTGTGGCAGGAGATACCTTCTCCAGCTCAGTCTCACAGTGTGGCCACGTGCATCAGAATCAGCTGGGGAAGCCCCTTAAATCCAAGGTCCTTGATCCCCATCCCAGACGTACTGATCCTGAATTTTGAACATATACCCTCCCTGATCCTAAGGCACCTCGGCTGCAGTCCTTGTCAAACCTACAAATGCAGTCAAGCTTTTTTGCAACTCTGGACATCCATTCATTCGGTGCTGTTGGACCAGGTGGGCACATTTCCAAAAGCCAGGCCTGGGGCCCAGGCTGGCTCCCTACTTGAGTCAGAGTCTGTGGGTGACAGGGCCTATTCACAGTGGCTGTCAGAGGAAGGCCCTTTTTGTTCAGTGCTTACATGTGTCTCAGAGCATCTTGAGCCCTGAGCTGCATGACAGCCTTGTGCATGGACAGGGGAGCACCCACCCAGTGCCCTGGGCCCTGTAAGCCAAGGTACATTACTCAAGATATCCTCCTCCTTCATTGGGCATGTGCCCACCTCATTTCTTCCCAACCTGGTGAAAAGAGGGAGTGAGAGAGTGGCCTCAGGGTTGCTGAGATACTGAACTTTCATCCACAAAACAGTCACTACCATGCATTGTCAGGCCCTGGGCTTAGACCTTTATGTGCATTTCATCTGCACAACAACCCAAGGAGTAAGGGTCACTATTCTCATTTTACTTTTTATTTATTTATTTTTAAGTGTTTTTATTGATTTCAGAGAGAGTAAGGCAGAGGGAGATAGAAACATCAGTGTTGAGAGAGAGTCATTGAGTGGCTGCCTCCTGCATGCCCCTTGCTGGGGACTGAGCCCACACCCCAGCATGTGCCCTGACCGGAAATCAAACCATGACCTCCTGGTTCATAGCTCAACGCTCAACCACTGAGCCATGCCAGCTACGCACCATCCTCATTTTATAAACAGGCTCAGACAAGTTACTTGTCCGAAGCCACTGGACCTTATCTGTAAAATGGGGACAGTATTCCCCACCTCTCAGGAAAGTGACAAGGATGGCCGTGTACTAACCTGTGATGAACTGCAGTGGCACGTTTGGGATCTGTAAGGGGGAGTGGAGGAGGCAGTCCAATTCCAGGATGCCTGGGGAACAAAAGGACTTGATTTGAAATGCGTGCGGCATTGCAGAGATAGAGTTCTTACTTGAACCATATGTTAACCTGGGGTTGCCTTGCAGGTGCTGGGAGCCGGGCATCAGGTAAACAGTTGCAGTATCAGCTGTGCTAAAGGTCATCCAGGTGGGTCACCAGGATACAGGGAGAGGCTTTCAGCCATGCTCGCTGGGCCCTGGAGATGCTGCAAGGAACCACACAGACAGTGACCTGGGGTGCCCCTCCCCCAGCTCTGGGGCCTCTGCCCACTGCTGGTCACACTAGGGCTGAGAACCTAGAGCTTCCTGAGAAAAGAAGCTGACTCTCTTCCTTTCCCTTCCTGACACTCAGACACTGTGACCTCAGCAGTTCCAGGGTCCAGTCAGGATGACTTAGTCCATTGGAGCTGCTGTGACAGACATCATAGATTAGGTGGCTTATAAACAACACAGGTTCATTTGGAGCCAGCTGACTCAATGTCTGGTGAGGGTCTACTTCCTATTCATAGATGGCTGACTTCTCACTGTGTCCCCACCT